TTGGGCACTTCTAAAACTAACAGGGGCTCTTAAGCTATCAGGGTTATCAACCTCCCTCCAAAGCTGACCCTTCTAGGCTCCCATGTATTAGCTCTGAGTGTTCTGGCCTCACACTGAGGAGTTAAGGAGTGGGACATCTACCCAACAGGAAGCCAAAGACCACTTCTATAAGAGCATGAAGCTGAGTGCATGGCATGTGCTTCATGAATAGAGGGTAAATTGAACTGAATTCTAAAGGGTCCTGGATTTCCTAAAGGGCAGCCTCTATGACTTACCATTTTGTGGAAACAAGCAACGGATGGAGATGCGACCATGCCTACAAGACACAGACACGTGTGTGGGATTGGGACAGAACTTTTCAATCTGGTCCCTCCCCTTTGTTCCATAGCCCACTGGGCTACAAAGGACCTCCTAGGAAGAATGTGCTCAGCTTTCTTTGCAATGGCTGGGCATGCCAGAAACAGAGGCTTTGAATCATCTCATCACCTGGTCAGCAGGAGCTATTTATGCCAGAAGTGTCTTAGGAAGAAAAGTGTCCTTTTATTAATTTCATGGCTTTCTTGCTAACATTTACAGTCCAAAACAAGTACAATCTGAATTTCAGACTTAGGTTTCTGACTTGAGGAAAAGAACAAAGAAATAACCGCCTTCAATTCACGTAACTATAATTGGTGACTTTTTCCCCCCAACAGTTCAATGTACTTGGTAGTTCTTCCTTTGTGAATTCTTATAAACTCAGAAATAATGTTAGGGCATAGGGGAGGGAGTCTCAAGAAAGCCAGAGATCCTGGTTGAGCTAGTGGGGCCAGACAACGAACCACTGATGCTAATAGGATTTCACTGGCATCCAGGGATTGCAGAGGCCCAAGAACTCCTTCTGTGTTCACTGGGAGAAGGCAAGGAAGGAGACTGTACCCTACTTACTCTATAGTCAATTATGTATGCACTCATTTATTTATTTGTTCACCTGTCATTTATTGAGAACCTGTTTGCATGCCCAACACTGCACTAAGCACTTGGGGAAGAAAGAAGTTTTAAAGGAGAACAACTTTATAGAATAGGGTTATCTTTTTAAAGAGAACTGGAAACCAGGCTGAAATTATGGGGCCTGTAAAAAGAGGAAGAAAAGACAGCCTCGGCCTAAAGAGTAGCCCTGGGGCAAAGCAATTGAAAGTTCTCTTGGGTTCTGCGGCATAGAAAATTTACATGACTTAACTAAGATCATACAGATCTTTGAAGTCAGAGACTGGCCTAAAACCAAGCCTGAGTGCCTTTCAGACGACCCCATCAACCTAGTACAGTGAAAAGAACTCAGACCTTGGAAAGAAAAATACCTTGATTTAAACCCTGCTTTTACCTTCAGTTACTTTAGAACTAAACCCCTCTGAGCTATAGTATTGCATGTAAAAAAAATAGTGATAAAAAATATTCATTGTAAAATGTGGTTACTATAGGATTAAAATACATGCTGTGATTTCTGCTACAAGAAAAATGGAGTAGTAGAGTCCAGATTTTCTTTCCCAGTTGATACAAGACAAAATATATGAAACAATGGTTTCCTTTTTTTTCTTTTTTTTTTTTTTTT